CCCCCCCCCCGCCCCCCCAGCCCAAACCCTGTGCTTCTGAAGAATTAGTCTGGTGGTCTTGATGAATTGGTTTCCTGAACCTGGGAATTCACTTCATGGGGTGGATACACTGACTTGAGCTGAGGTGTCAGTTTGGTAGACAGAAAAGGAAAAATGCAAAAGACAGTGTTACCGCCAGTGCCGTCCCCACTGGTGATGTCTCCTCCTTGAATCATGAAATCTTTGATGACGCGATGAAATGTGCTTCCTTTATATCCGTAGCCTTTCTAAAGAGATTATGTCAATTGAATATATGAGTAGGTATAACCCACACCAAAAGATAAACCCCAGCGTTTATCTGGAAAGGACACAATGAGAAAATGACACGAGCTATGGGCAGAACCTGATGAGGTCCCTGCAACAAGGTACTAATAGAAATGTTCTCATTAGCAGACCCAAAATAAAGAAACCAACTGTGGAAGTCAAGGATTAATGTGAATAAGTGAAAACAGAGCAATCTGCGTTTTCATATGATGCAGTTCCCCTCAATTTCTAGAAACCCAAGGACACAGGGTGCCCAAAGAGTGAGATTTTGTACAAAAATAAAGTAAAATACTGTTAAGACGTCCCGGGTTCATTGGACCTGCTAATTCCACACTTATTTTCCCAGAAAACATCTGTATTTACGCTGGGCTTAACAGAAGGAAGATCCCATTTTGTGCACAGTTAAGGGACCCACAGCTGAGACCTACCTCGCCTGTGGCCAGAGCGACAAAATTTTCCACAGTCTTGGGCACAACCTTTCCAAAGAGGCCAATCACGATTCTGCCAACATCTTTGTCTCCGATCCTCACATCAAAGAAGACCTGGTGTGGTTGAACCGGCAGAGCACAGGCACAAGGTAAGAGAAGGTTAAAATCTGAGAACGCATTGCTATGCAAAAGGCCTCCCTGCCCCCACAGCAGCTTATAAAGGAGCCCTAAAACCCTCGTGTGGGTGCAAGGCACCTGTAAACATTCATTCCGCAAGCACTCAGTGAGCCCCCGCAGGCCGGGCCCTGTGCTAGGTCCTGGGTCTGAAGTTGGTCAGCCAGTGAGGTCTCCGA